GGACGAGGACGGAGACGAGGACTGCCGCGCACGTGGTGGGGGGAGGGGGGTTGCGGTAGTTACTTTACACGCCAGCCAGCTGGATCCAGACTTCGGAGGTTGTCCTAGAACGGGACCGCCTAGGTATTATCCCTAGGTTTACGGCACCCAAGCTGGTGGTACGCTACTCTCCACATTGCAAATTGTTCCACACTTATATACAGGCAGTGTAGGTCGGTTTCGGGATCTGGACGGATTACTCGCCGAGTAGTTGGTTATGGCGAAAGTCTGATTGGCTGGTTGAGATATTTCTCTCTTCACTGCAAACCGCTCCACTGCTCCACTGCAAACGGCAAACAGCCAGTCCAGAAAACACCGAAACGTACTGCCGACAAACATATCCGGAGGTATGATATGTAGGAAGTATGTACGCAACGGACGATGATGATCTAACGATCCATCGCAGAAGGCTTTGAGAGCTGTAGGATGGGCCCGGGATGCGTAGGCAAATAGAGTAAGTTGGTGAAGTGGGTGCTTTGGTAGGTATGATTTGGTAGGTATGAAGGTGTGTTATATAGCAGCGCACCAGCATCTGGGATTGTTACCGAACAGGCACCGTTGTTCCAACCCTACCTTTATACTCTCAAGAGGTTTAATACCTATAATGGCAGTCCCTGCGGGCCTGTACAGACGGTGCAGTATGTATGTGTGTATTGCCCATATATGATTGCCTTACCTACTGTAGATGGCCTTGAGGACATGGGTGGAAGGGCCCGGGGGAGGGGCGGGGCGGATACATGGCTATGCGATTACACCCCAGAGTACCGGTACCGTATGTACAGTGAGTACATGGCATCGCGCGCGGAGGTTCAAGGCCGTGCGGCGAATTCGAATCTCCGCCCGCACCGGTTAAGTAAGATCGAGTACCCGCGCAAGTACCCACCCAGGTAAGTATTTCTTACTTAGGCCCTGTTCGCGCACACCATTATCTCATTATGTGGATGTGCCAAGCCTTTAGCGCGACATAATGCTTTTAGCATTATGTCGATTCGGCGCACAGACTTCTGAACTAGACATTGCGACGCCACATCTACTGCAGGTGCTACATAGAAGCTAGCCAGTAAGAGTAGCGAGCGGAAGTGAACCATCATGTAATACGTGTCCTCAGCCTCAAATGCAATGGAAAAATGGCTGGGAGTCTCGCGGATTTACTCAGTCATTCCTACTTGGTGACTGGAGTCATTCCTGCTCGTTGACTAGAGTCATTTCTCCACTTACTAGAGTCATTCTTTCAATGACTGTAACTGTGTGAGTTGATTGACTCTTGCAATGCTTCCCGGATGACACTTGTAATAAAACCCATCGCTTCCATAGTCTTCAGCTTCCAGAAGTTCCAAATCCTGCCGAGGAATCAAGTTTCCTGCCGAGTCAGCAGTAAACACTTTTCCGATCTCTTCAATATTTTTTTTTGCTGTTCCAATTGTTGAATTATCGTGGTGATGGTAGTGGTTGAGGTTGAGGTTGGAGACTCCCCCCCTTTTTTTATTGTGGCGCAGCCCAACTTGACATAATGGGTGAGATATTGGGTTGTAGCGAACACTCAAATTATGAGTGGAAAAATGGTTTTCAAATTTATGTGGTAGCAGGATGAGATAATGGGTGCGCGAATAGGGCCTTACTCACTCTAGTGTAGTACTCAACTTACTCACATACATTGAACTGCACTGCACGGCACGGCGCACGCTCAACTACCGCCTCGTTTCGTCCGTCTGTCGGCTAACCCCTTCGGAGAACCCTACCTCCAGTACGTCGACATCAGCACTACTTGTTAACTATCACTCCCGTGAAGAAACCCCTACATAGATACAAACATACCTAGATCTCGGCCCAGCGGGCGGCTAATGGGACATATCGTAGGAGGAGGGGAGACGCAAGCGGCACTCGTATGTATGATTTTTATGATTTGTATGTTTGTACGCATCGTACCTACTTGGGCAGAGCAAGATAGGCAGCCCTAAGCACAGGACCGTACTGCTTACATAGATATAAACGGAGCTTTTGTGAGCGCCTTTACGATGCGTTTCCCCCCGGTGTGATTGATCCCGGCTGCGGAGTGGCTCAGTATGTAGTGTACTCTGAGGCTTGAGCAGACGGCATCTCATCGCTTCCGATGCCTGTCTCGCAGATGTTCCGGATCTTCTCGAATCTTGAGTGTTCTTCGTGAATCTGAGTGACCGACTATCTACCTGCATATTTTCCGTTTCGTCAGCCCTATCTACCGTACCATGAACCCGCTTTTTTCTCTCTTCCTTTCAGTTCGATCATACTTGAATCCAGCCCAACTACTTATCCAGACCATGACGGCGTACGATGCCCACATTCCCTCCGTTTCTATCCAACCCATCAAGCCGCGCAGCCCGATACCGGCTCCTCGCCGAGTACTAGCGCATGATTGCATCTTCCGCAGCTCCGAATAAGCGATGCTGCCCCTCCTCCCCCTGGGCCCTGGGGGGCTCAAGGGAAACCATGTCCTCGTCTCGTCTCGGGTTCCAGCTAGTCAGCATGTAGATATCTAGCTAACTAGCTGTGTCGGGCCGTCAGTTACTGCTGCTTGCTTCTGCTGCTGCAGGCGTGACACTGCTCGTGCATAAAGAAAGTGCCACGGACCTCTTTATACCCACCTACACCATGGTCCATCACCGAAAACTGAAAACTGAAAACTGAACCGAAAATTGAGAACCGAGAACCTACCTGGCCAGATGAGAGGATAGATAGGGGCCACTGTTTGTGTGCAATGTGATTTCTCGTCCTCACCGTTGAGGCCGGAGAGGATCTCTCGAGTCTCCAGGCCGCTTGTGTTCTCTCCTTCCGGCGGAAAGTGTTCGCCAAGTAACGTCGGGAAGATCAGCAACGTATGGATTTCCGTAGCAGTGGGACTGTGAGACAGCCCCGCCGCTATGTATCGGCAGTTGCAGACCGCTAACTATCCAACTATCGGCCAGCATCGGCATCCCTATCGAAATGCTGATCGGAGAAGCGGCGATGGAGAATCGATGGAGTACCGGTATGTACTTATGTTGCAGATATGTATGCACAGATGTGCGCACTCTTACAGTAGAGAAAGAGAGTTACTTGGTTACTTCACGGACATTCGTGAAAGGATGGTTGTCGTTGTTGTTGGGAACAGATAATGTTGGGATGCCTGCGATGCGGGAAGGGTGATGATGGTGATGATGCGCTGACAGGGTCTCACAAGTCATCAAGTCCCCCTTCCCCTTCCCCTTCTCCCTTCCCACCTTCCCTTTTCTTCGGCATCTGCCGTCTGTATCTACCTAAGAATACCAATTCGTTGTCGCGAATTTGTGAATCTTTTTTTCTCTTTCTTTCTTTATGATGGCCAGGCCAATGGATGGCTGGCAACGGGTAATTTATTTTTAGAGTACAGATAGCTTGCCGCTCTTCCGCCCCCAAGTTGACATGTCTGGGCTGGTCTGCCTGCGTGCTGCTTGCACTGCTGGCATGGCCGGAATTCTTTGCCACCGCTTGGGTTAGGAGGCTACTCTATTCTCGGGATCCGCCTTTCTGCTAGTGACTCGAAGTTAGGAGGTAGGAGGAAGAGGAGGCGGCCGCCCGCACCTATGAGGTGTGAATTCCCGTATAACTAGAACTGTGTCAATTCGACTCCTATCCCGCCAATCCCGCCCCCTCTTGGGTAGGTCCTACTTGGTGATAAAAGATTCACTCCGGTTAAGCGATCAATTATAACATACCTATACATCCCTCCTCCTCCGTCCCTTCCGCGTGACACTTGGCCCCTCCAATTTGCAACTGCCACTGCACTGCCACTGAAACTTCAAATTCCTCCTTCCACATACCGGGGCCACCTCAACGCCAAAAAACAACATAAGGCCAAGTCTCCGCTTGGGTTGACTGGCTCGGCCTCGAGTCCGCGAGTCCAAAGTGCCGAACTACATACCATACTCCTTACCCAACCTATCGCTTTGTTAACCCCCCAAGTGGCTCTCTAGAGTGCATAATCTGGTCAGCCCTCTCTGGGCCCCCATCCCGTCGCGCGCTGCCCTCCGACGCCGATCGTTCTGTGTGTCGCTTCTGTCTTTCTTGTGACCCCCCCTCCCACCCCCCGAATCGAAAAAAAAGTCCATATCCCCCCCGTAGATACATAACTCTCTACTCTACCTACCTACACCTCTTCCCGTGCTCTTACAGTGCGAAGTAGTTACAGACCTACCTCCCCTGCAACGCCTCTCAAACCCGTCATTTTTCTTTTCCCTTCTCTCTCTACTTAAACCTAATGCCTCGAACTCACCGTAAAGTCCATATGGTACGCGAAAAACGTCGTCGAACCTTCGCCCTTGGGCTCCGTAGCATTCGTTCCCTATCGCCACCCTCGAACCCTTTGAAAGCTGACTCGCTTGCGCTTCTCCGTAGTTTTGGACTCTGATTCTCCTCTGAGGGCACACGTCCCAGCCACCGCGACTTGACTGCCCACATCGCGCTGCGGATTCTCTTCGAAAAGCATGGCGCCAAATATCTCGCGGCATCCCACTCTCTACATCGTTTTCTGTCGTCACTCTGTCGGTCATTTTCTGCTTATCCGTCGCTGTTTCTGTACTTCAATAGTGCTCCCGGTCCCTCTTCGTCACCCATCATGTCTGGACGTCGGCAACGACCGTTCCTCTACCCTTCCGTGGCCGCCCGGATATATAGGCATCAAGCAGGCATGGATCCAAGGCCTCCTACATGGAGGCCTTGACGCAACGAATGTGTTGAGAGGGACTCAGGATTCCAGCAGGCGCTGCTGCCGGATGCGGACTGTGCAGCGTTGCCGCGCCGGGAATACGAGAGCGACTACAACTACGACGACTTCGTCACGGGGATCCCCATCGTGGACGACGAAGAGCGGATACCACCAGCATGTTCTTTCATTCGCCTCTGCTCTACTGGAACTGCTCGCTCGAGGCGGTCGAGAACGATCGCCGGATCCTCAAAACCCGTGAACGATGGAATTGCCGCTGCGATCGTCGGCTCAGATCACGCTCCGATGGGCCTCCGTCTTCGCCGGGAAACACTTTTCGCACCAGAAGCTTATTGCCGCCGATGCTTTGGTGATCAGCATGTTCTATCACCTCAACTCGACCGCCGGAGAAGAGTGGGACCGGCGAGCCGCAAAACTTATCCGCGAAGTAAAAGATCATGGAAGATACCGGGTTTACGGACAGGATTTCCAGAGCACGTTGTATGAGGTAGGAGGCTGAGCCCGAGAGGGAGGAGGGGGGAGGGTGGGGTGGGGTGTCCGTGAACTTTCTTTGACGTTGATATATGATAGTTCCGATTCCAACCCATCTCGATAATCGAAATGCTCTCTCTATCCGGGTGTTACTTGGCTGCAGCCGTATACTTGGCCGTGTCTTTGCGCCGGTTGAGGCTGTGAAGTCTCGAATCGGTCTGGTCATCACAGCTCTCACTCAGGTATGGCTGGTCCTGCGGATCCCCCCCAATATTCCAGTCTCTGACGGGAGCGCTTCAGATTTGCACATCGATCATGTCGAGCTTCACAATTCTGGCGATGCTCAAAGTCCCGGTTTCACATGTTCCAGGTAAGCTCGGATTTGGTGCCCGGGGAGAAGCTACGTGGCGCTGACGGAATACACAGGGAGGTATTTCCGTTCATAGTAATCGTGATTGGGCTGGAGAATATGTTCCGTCTAATCAATGCGGTACTCGCGACTCCGGCGGAGCAACCTTCGACCAAGAGGATATCCAGCGCTCTAGGAGAGGTCGGCTTCCTTTCGTTCGTCGCTGTGGCTACTGATGTTGGCTTCCTGTCCCTTATCGCTGTGATTTCGGTACCTGCCGTCCGAGAGTTTTGTGCATTCGCCGGTATTGCTTTGATAATGGACTTCGTTGGGCACAATACCTTTTTCCTTGCGGTCCTGAGTGTCGACGTGCAGCGTATGGAGCTGCAGGACTCGCTGGATAGATTGATGAGCCTGAACTCCAACGAAGACAACAATGACTTCCAAGGGCTCGACAAGACCGATCGGAATCCAAGCCCTGTCGCGGATTTCTTGTTTAGGGGCGGGTCGCCATTGAGCACCCGGATTGCTGGGTCAGCCATTGTAAGTAAAGCTTTTGGTATCCCAGACCCCCGTCCAGACTTTGTTTTTCTCACAATTCGGTAGATGATTTGTTTCGCGGTGGCCTTGAACATTCATTTCCTCGACAACCAACACCCATTGGTATCGCTAATGATGTTTATCGACATGCTACGACATCCCAACAGGTTCTCTCAGTGTAACGTCACCCATGACATGCCGCTCAACGTCGCAAGGACCCCGACCGCATGGCTCAGCAAACAGGATGAATACACAGGGATGGAGCTTATACGAGCCGCCAAACACATGCGAGCGGCTATGCCCGACGCCTTCAGAATCATAGCAAAGGCATACAGCCCAATATTCTTCGAATTGGCAGGTTCCGATCGTGCTCAGACGCCAGATAAGATGCCTAACATCATCAGCACCATAGACATCGATGTCCTCAAGGAACACTGGTCCTCTTTGGATTGACTTTGCTCGTCGTGGTGACCGGTGTCACTCTGCTGATGAACCATTCCTGTCAAGGGAGCTGCCAGAGGAAGCCGTAGTGCCCAAGGAGAACGAGGGATCGCTGCTGAAATGCCGAACTCTGATCGAGGGCCATTCGCTCGATGTGGCTGTACTTGCGGCCTCGCCTCGCGGCATACTGGTGTCTGTTGGTCTGGATAGGCGGATCGTTGTGTGGAAGCTCAAGGGGAATCAACAACCGTGCTTGAAGGATGTCATCCGGCCGACTTGCGCGGAACACGTCTTGTGGCCGATCATCGGTGTTGCGCTCGATGAGAAGGGAGAGTGGCTAGCGATTGCGCCCAAATGCGGGAAAGTCTCGTTCTACCAAGTTGAGAAGTCGACTCTCTATCGATCGCTGGACGTGGATCTGCAAGGCCATCAGCCTAGCGCCTTCTTCTTCGCGCCCCGGAATCTCAACGATGAGCAAAACCACGGACCGCGGCTTGTCGTTTTGCGGAGCGATGGCTGCTTGTTCGAGGTCTACGTCAAGACCAAGGAGATTGTCCGGCATCAAATCTGTGAAGGAGTTGTGGTTTCATCATCTCATGGAGTCTTTACTCCGAGATTGCCGCTCAGGATTGTTACTGCATGTCAGAGGGGACGCATATTTGTCACGGCAAAGTCGCAAGGGGACTGGTATACCGAGCAGTTGGACCTCATGTCTCCGCCGTTTACATCGCCCTCTATGGAGCCCGGTGAGCCATGCACCATATTGCCTCTCTCGTCGCTGGGAATGGTGATCAGCTCCCGGTCCTGCAATGTTGAGCTGGTGGATATCCTTTCTGGTAAGTTGACTTGTTTTTCTCCTCTCCCGTTTCTTTAAGTCTAGTCTCTAATGTTGACATTCAATAGGCGGCATCATTCGCTCCTTTCAAACCGGTCAGTTCAAGCCTGGCTCCCTCAGGGCGTTTCACGCAAAACAGCGCACGTGCCTCTACTGCGGATGTCCCTCTGTCCTCTCTTTCTCCATTGCATACAGCGAACGGGAATCAGGCATGTTCATGATGCACACGTTTACGTCTTCTCGGGGGAAAATGCGAGACATCTGCCTCCGAGCCGAACGCGATCGACGAGAACGCAAATGCACCGGTTTCGAAAGCGTAATAGAGACTACCCATTGGCTCGACAATGTCGAAGGCTGGGAACCCACCTCGTTGAACATGGTTGCCGGTGTTCGTCGTCGCGAGGTGCCCCTGGACGACCAAAGCTCGGATGATTACGAGTCGCCGACGCACTGCGGATCCAGTTTGAGGCGGCGGAAGCAGCTGGAGAAGAAGAATCTGCGGTGTGACGACGAGGAGGATGAGTGGGAGGCCTGGACTATGGACTCTTGCGGTGTCGTCACTTCGTATCCATTGCACGACAGTACGGATCCGGACAGCCGTGGTGACGGGTTGCTCGTCAGCCGGGCCGGGCCAGTAACAAAATTGGGGCAGCGGAGTGTGGCCGTGGGATTCGGAAACAACATCAAGCTGCTGCTGCTTGGCATGGAGCGGTACGAGGACGAAGATGGCGGAGACCCATATCATGATATCGCGCGAAGACCAAGGGGCATCGGTTGCGATGAGGGGATCGAGGTGATACCTGTAGAATTTGTTTTACGGTTTTTTTTCTCCTCCTCTTCTGTTTTGGAATTTGAGCATGGATACTAGTAGATATTGTTGACGGTCTTTTTTCGTTTCGGGTTGGGTGTTTTTTTGCAGTTTGTTCGGTTTCCATCTTCATTTGGGGGCGGACGGGTGGGGAGGCCGGTCTGGAGTTTCAGGTGTTGGATCTTTTTTGTATCGTTCTGAGTATTATCATCTCAGCATCGACATTTTTGGAATATTTTGAGCGTAGCAAACCGTCACGGACCACAGCAATAGTACACCGCTGTTTACGTCGGGATTCGATTACAGTGATACGTTGTGATGGCCATCTCAATTCTTTCAGTATCAATACCATGCATGTCCTTCATGCTCTTCCACTCCTGCTCGAGCCCCTTGAGTCGCTGCTCCATCTGCCTGGCGATCTGGTTCTTCTTCTCGTTCCTCCTCTTTACCCGTCCAGTCCGCAGTTTCTCGTGGTACTGTATCGTCTCGGTATCGATAACCGACTGGAACCGCTCGGTGATGGCATACGACCTCCTCTCGGAAGCATGCATCCAATCCTGATGGGTGACCCGATACAGCTCCGCGCCATCCATCCAAGTGGCATCATCGCCGGGTATCCAGCGCACCAGACCCGCGCGCGCCAACTGCTCATCCCACATATCCTCCATCTCGGCGTAGTACATGACATTGTCGCGGACATGCGCCATGACATCCCAATGCCGGACCTTCCTCTTGACCTTCTGGTTGATGATGCTAGACACCCACATGGGGATCTTCCTCCCGGGGCGCTTCAGCACGGGCAGGCCATTGGTACATCCCATGCGCGGCGGGCGCGCCCGCACCACCGCCGACCGCACCGCCTTCTCGCGCGGCGTCAGCGTCAGCGCTAGCATCTTCTTCTTGCGCGTCGGCGTGAGCTGGTTCGGCGGCTGCGGCGGTGTGTGTACAGGCCAGGGAGGGCGGGTCGTAGCCAAGACCCGCGCCTTGCGCGAGGCGAGGAGGGCGGCCAGCGCGGTGGTCACCGAGGTCAGCGCTGAGCCGTCAGATTGGCATGCCCGCCGCAGAAGTGACTCGTATTCGTACCCCGCCTCGAGTGCTTTGCGTTGTGGACGCCCTTGTAACGCCCGCGATTTGCGGAATTGCCGCCGGATTTGCGATGTCGCGCTGCGTCTTAGTTGTGGCTCTATGGGTAGGTGCACGCTGTGCGTGAGCAGCGCTTTGTAGAGTGCACGGCCTGGGGAATGATGTCAGCGGGGATGGAGGAGGGAGGGAGAGGGAGGGAGAGAGGGCGTGGGGTGAGTTACATGCATGTTTGTGTGCTTCCTGACTGTACTTCTTGAACCACATAGCATCTCGCTCGACGCTCTGAAGTCGTTGGGTTGGGTTCCTTCTGTGATTTTGGCGTTGTGCTAGGCACTTCGTTATTGCCCCCACTAACTAAATTCCGACCCGCAGTTGGTTGTCCCGCCGCCGCCGCCGTAGTGACAACCGGGTAATCACGCCTCCAATTAAATCGTGGTGGCGGCTCGTGCCTGCGGGTTTTTCCCTTCCGAACGTATTGTACAGCTCTGATTTCCAGCTTCCCCGTCTTCGACGCCCGTAGCAGCAGCAGTCGCCATGATGTTAGCACGGCCTCTATCGAGGCTCTTCGCGCGGCCACCCATCGGCGCCACCCCGTCGATCCTTCGCGCACAACCATCGAGATTCCTAGCTACCGAAACTGTCTCCAGCTCCGCCGCTCCGATGGAGTTGCCGGCCATGGTGGCGTCGTCGTTCACTCCTCCGCCAGCCCGTGAGGAGCGGGGTTTTGCCATGTGAGCACGCCAGATGGCGGATTGGGGGAGAGAGAGGACCGATGGGGGGCGTGAGGCATGGGACTTGTTCAATGGATGGCTGACGCATCCTGCCAGGAAACGCTACAAGCCGCGCACTCCCGGAGTCCGACATTTGGTGCGCACGATCAACGAGCACCTATGGAAGGGCGGGCCATTCAAGGCGCTCACGATCGCCAAGAAGGGGCACGGCAAGGGAGGGCGTAATCACACTGGCCGCATCACCGTGCGACACCACGGAGAGGCCACAAGCGGCGGATCCGCACCGTCGACTTCTTCCGAGTCGAGCCGGGCCCGCACCGAGTCGACCGCATTGAGCGGGACCCGGGGCGCAGCGGCCACATCGCGCTCGTCACTAAACGAGGCCACCCAGAAGAAGAGCTATATCCTCGCGGCTGATGGACTGCGCGCTGGTGATGTCGTCCAGTCCTACAGATCCGGCATTCCGAACGATCTCCTCGCGAGCATGGGCGGTGTCGTCGATCCCGGTATGCTCGCCGCGAAGACCGCCTGGAGAGGAAACTGCCTGCCCCTGCACATGATCCCGATCGGAACGCTCATCCACGCGGTGGGCTCGGGGTCCAAGGGCCATGCCGTGTTCTGTCGCTCCGCGGGTACCTATGCTACCGTCATCGCCCGCGACGAGAAGACGGACTGTGTGGTTATCCGGCTACAGAGTGGTGAGGTACGACGGGTGAGAAGGATGCGGCCGCGACCGTCGGGGTCGTCAGCAATCCCACATGGCAGCACAGGCAGTTGGGTAAGGCCGGTAGAAGCCGTTGGTTGAACATCCGGCCCACTGTCCGTGGTCTGGCCATGAACGCTTCCGACCATCCTCACGGAGGAGGTCGTGGTAAGAGTAAGGGTAACCGCCACCCTGTCAGTCCGTGGGGTATTCCGGTACGTAACACCATCCCGTTCGATTTGCCGGCGGCGGCGATCTCGCAGCCGCCACATGGCACGCACGTAAAGAATGTGTCTAACCATCAGATTACAGACCAAGTCCGGTTACAAGACAAGTGAGTCCTCCCTCGACATTTCCAGCCACCACCATCCTCATCATCATCATCATCCACATTTTCCCCCACTCCATTCCGTAACAGCTCTAACCCTGTGACAGGATCGGTCGGCAAGCCAAACAAGTGGGTAGTGGTGCCGCGGGTACGCAACCAAGGAAAGAGACGGGCGAAGTCGTAGACGAAGCAGCTTCGAGAATGTGCCGTATTAAAAGAGTGGGGGAGCGAGTTCTGTTCTGGATGTAACTCTACTTTACTCTTATAAAACCATTTGAAGCTGGGCAGTGGATGGGATTATAGATCGTCTGGGCGGTTTGCTGCTTGCTATATCAACCGTTGAGGCTCGTTTCTTTAGTGTGAGATGGCATGATCAGAGGATCAAGTGCTCGCCGTGGTATCGATTCATGCATGGCGCAGATTCTGCGGCCAAAACTGAGCAACGGCGTCGAGATCGGATAAACCGAGTGATCGTACGTGCACAAAGCTATCGTCGAAGGGCGCAATACCTACAGCAGACAGTGCTGCATAAGATGCTTTGACGCACAGCCCAAGAATTTTTCTAGCAACTATCGGTCAGACAATTTACTGGGCAGACGGCCGAGAAGTGCCGAGTGATAGCTGTGGCATTCAATACCTAACATTTGCCGATATTCTTCTTGATACAATACAGCTCACCCGAGCAAGCAATCCAAGTCCCGCCCACCAGAGCTTCTGTGTACTCCGATCATCCAACTACCAATGGAACTAATATTGCATTCACATTCATCCCCGGAACGTGTTGGGCTCTTTCATCAGTATCAGCTCTATCACTCATGCAGCATGCTTCCCTTACCCTTACCGGTCCAATCGGAACATCCTATGTACATAAGAAGAGGAAGCACGCCGGAGAGAAAGACGGAGGTGAGGCTATCAAGAAGAGCAAATATGTAGCAACAAGTCGCTTCTTGATCGTCTTCGCGCGGCTTCTGGTGAAACGATCAAGACCGCGCCGATCTCGCTCAGGAGCTAGGGGGACAATCATCGGCCCAGTGCTGAGTCTACATATGACGTTCTTGGAACGGATTCGACTCCCGCGTGGTCATTCGGTGAACTCCCTCGAATTGTGCGCTCTACAAGGTAGGTACTATATTCTCATCCCGGAACTTTCGGCGATCGGTACCTTATTCCTGTGCTGTGCCGCCGTGCGGTCACAGTGCTCGGTCCTGCTCAGCTACTCTATATACATGCCAGTACCCAACCCGCACGACTAATTCACAACCGCGCATCTAACTAGCGACGTAGCCGCGTAACCATGCCGAATCCGTGCGCACCGGCAGTTAGGCCGGCCTGTGGATTATCGGTCGGGCCGAATGGTGAGCGACTACTGCCTGGTATGCAATATCAGTAGCTGCAGCCTTTCACTCGAGAATACCACACAATATACTTGTTAAACTTCTTCCATAGTACCTGGGTAGGTATTTCTAACCCCCACCGAACGTCGAACATCGAACATCGAAGGCTGAGTGATCCTTTATGACGCCAGTCTTCTATCGCCACCAGGTAGGTAGGCAGGTATGGAGTGTTCTTGCATCAATTCTTATCCGTCGGATTGAAGGCGACTATTCAAGTACACAAATATATACAGGACAAACACTAGGTACTCGAGCCCACTGCCCATCGCTCACTACCATAAGCTCCCGCGGAGAGAATCCAGGCGTATATTGCTCCGATGATGGTTCAACATGGGTTCCCCCAACCCAGCCAACCTAGTCCAGAGCGCAACAATTGACAGGCTACATCTACTCGGCCGTCGAAAGTGGCGCCAACAGACGCCGTATACTCTACCTACACCGGAGTACATAGTACCTAGCCGGTCGGATCCGGCCCACCCATCACCGTCACCAGGTATTCTATGTATGAGTAAATGCTGCGCTGATTCTTACGCGCGAGAACGTGGACCCCTCCTAGGGCTGAGGGGGTGCGTGGGTACTTAGGTGGGTAGGTTTTTCCGCCCTTTGGTCCGGTCCGGTGAACTGTAGGTACGGTATGTGCTTAGGTACGTTATGCGCGCACCGCGTCTGCGCCTACCTATGTGTATGATACCTGGTAACTACGGTAATCGTCTTATGCCCGTGCTCTTTCAAGGTACATATCCGACGCTTCTCTGACTGATTGATCGACTTGGTGCGTATGTATGGTTGTATGTATGTCTGTATGGACCGATGGATGTGTGTATGGTTGTATGTATGTCTGTATGGTTGTATGTATGTCTGTATGGTTGTATGTATGTCTGTATGGTTGTATGTATGTCTGTATGGTTGTATGTATGTCTGTATGGTTGTATGTATGCCTGTATGGTTGTATGTATGTCTGTATGGTTGTGTGTATGTCTGTATGGACCGATGGATGTGTGTATGTATAGTACTGTAAATATTCGCATTCGTATTCGCATTCCATGATTTTCCAACCCCACAGCACAGCACAGCACCGCATCTAGGATTCTAGATAGGTACATGTGCTCTCACAACCAACGTCGCCGCCGATTGCTGTCGCTGGTCTGTACTTGCCTGACGCAAACACTGTTGCGATGCTGCGATCGTGAGCGCGGTTCGAGTAACTACTTAGGTACGGTAGGTCGGTATGTACCTAGGTAGGAAGTATGTAGGTAAGAAGATGTAGGTAACCTGTCGGGTCCCGGTGGCGTTATATATACTTTGTGTTTTTGGGGGAGGGTCTGCCCAATGCCAGTGGGGGCGGAGTGAGGTATATCATACATACATCTCTAGTAACGCTACATGCGGCGACAGCGACGGCGACGACGGCGACGATGACGCAATAGAGATGTGGAATCGGGAAAAGGTTCTATACCGTATACCTGAGCTGCGGTGTGTGTACTGTGTCGTGTTGTGTTGGACCTATCGTGTGTGTTGTGTTGTGTTTTGTGCTCCGGGCCGCCCGCACCCCACCCCCCACGCCCTCGCCCCACACACCGGGACGAGTGAGCGAGTGAGCGCGGATGAGCGCGGATGCGAAGACGGAAGTCCTGGACTCCTGGACAGCCGGGTTCACAACCATCAACTCAACACTCGACAGAGCCCCGCATGTCCCACCCCAAAACTCAGTTACCTAGGATACCGGTAACTAGCATACATACCTACTTACCTACATGCATCATACGCCATTGTCTCGGAATGTTTATTTCTGGAAGGTTAGAAACTTACCTAGTTGACTGTTAGTTGTGTATGTAGGCATCATGGGAAATCGAGATCCATGTCTCGGAGTCGGATCCGATCGTGTTTGGCCACCTAGGTAGACAACCAAGTACCGGTACTCTAGAGTAGGTTATACTACTGCCTAGTATGATGGGTGTGATAGCTCGATTGATCGCAGGAGGTTCAAAACAGTGGATCTACATATCATATCAAACTAGCAGGTGCTTAGGTGAAGCACGAGTGAGATCCAGGAGGAATCCAGGAGGGACTGATGCCTCGAGAATCGTCTGCGGACTCCGGCAAAGGGTTTTGACTGGGTCCTTGCTGGCAGAGGCTATCTACATACATGATGTAGAGTACTTTACAGCGAGTGTAGGGCGGGCTTCTCCTGGTTACACTAGGTGGGTACAACACTCATGTACATTGTGTTGCAGGGAGCGCGGGCCTAGGTGCAAGTAGGCTCCCAGGGTTTGCTCTATTTCAGTGACGAATCTACTCTACTTCCGATGGAGTATGTAGATGCTCCGCTCACTGCTGGGCTCTGCTTCTTTCAGACCTGTTTCCGGACGTGTCTCGGCAGTGGTTATGGAGAGTATACACGCCGTATACTCTACACAACGGTAACACGGAGAGTATACACGCCGTATACTCTACACAACGGTACATGGAGTACTATGGAGTGCCGTATGGTTGGTATATACTCGGCCACATGTAGGACCTCCAGTAGATACTTGGCAGCACGTAGCCACCATGGGCCCTCCCGTACCGCGCGGAGTCCTACATACGGGTGTATTTCTTCTTCTTCTGCTTCCAATAATTTACTAATAGGTACCTACACAATATCCCTGACGACATCCATGCAGCTTCATTCTCCGCATCGACCGTCGTGACTCGTCGTCGTCGTCACGCCGCCGGCATTTGCCCGACAACCGCCCAGCGAGTGCCCGACAACCTGCCAGCGAGTGCCCAAGACTCTCGCAACCAACCACGCACTTTCCCATCACACATAAGCTTCTGGCCACTGGCACTATATCGTTACCCCCTGATCAACCCCGGGACGTTCTCTCTTTTTCAACCGTCAACGCTCGTGTGTAGTTCCGGAGCCTGTTCCCCGCCGCAAGCGAAGCCCGGCCCTGAACTAGCCCCGATGGAGCAGCTGTGGGCTATATCGGGCTGCTCGCTGCAAGCTATCGACATCTCCCGCCGCTTGCTCAGTCAAACTCGCGGCTCCGTGTCTGATAATCTAGAAGTAGAGTATCTACCTCCAACATCCTAACTCCTCGGCCCACCAAGAAGAATCGCCTGAAACGCCCACTCCATCCTGTCCTGTCGCGACGAGCGAGCGGCTCGATCCACTTCCCACTCCACTTCCGGCAGAATTGAGTGAATGGCCAGCCCACCCACCACCATCCCACCCCCGCCAGCTTTGTCGGTATTCAGCTCCATAGCCAGCAGCTGCTGCTGCTGCCGCAGAGTGCGTGCGTGTATTGCCTTGCCCTACCTAAGTAGGTACCAACTTCAGGCACAACGTGATGGATGGACGCAAGAAGAAAAGAGAAGGGGAAAAAAACACACCCCAGCCCAGCAGAAACAACCCTCGCACAAAGAACACTCCAGAGCCCAGACATCCCATCCCCCCAGCCTCACGGGTTGTGGCCATGGGCTACGGGGGAGGGGGGCGGACGCCGAGCTTCTATTTGCGACGGCGTCAAGCTTTCAAGTGTGGGACGTAACTATCATACAGACAGAAACTTCTTGCTAGGCTTTCCAAGGGCCTTCTTTCTCGTCCGTCGCATCGGATCACACGGATCACACCGCTGTTCACGTTGCTTGGCTTTTCAAGCTCATGGGCCTTCTCGTCGGATCGCATCACATCACATCGCTGTTGACGTCCCGTACGCCAGTGAAATCGGATGTCGTGGAATCAAAACACTGCAGTTGCTTCGCCGCCGCTGGATATATGCCATATTTACCTACTTTCCTACTTGGT